TCTCGCAAGACGACGCACATTTCTTGGCGTGGTGTGCACGTAAATGACATGGTCATCAGTTCGCGCGTTTAGTACGTATAGAGCTTCGTTTATTCGTCCGCGGAAACAGTTTGCATTATTTCATGCCATGGCATGTCCGCGCATCTGTCAGAATGAGGAGAGGGACAGAGAGAGAGAGAGAGAAAGAGAGACGGAGAGAGAGAGAAGAGAGAGAAGAGACGCGACGAGAGAGGAGAGAGAGAGAGAGAGAGAGAAGGAGAGGCCAGAGTGAGAGAGAGAGAGAGAGAGAGAGAGAGAGAGAGAGAGAGGAGAGAGAGAGATGACGAGAGAGAGAGAGAGAGAGAAAGACAGAGAAGAGAGAGCAAGAGAAGGAGCAAGACCAATGGAAAACTTGGCGGCCAGAGGAAACGGTTGTGCTGAGGAAGGCGTAGGTAAATAGCAGCCATACGTGGCGTCAACCAGCGGCCGATTTCACGCCTAAGCGCAAATAGAATATGCTTGCAAACGGTTGGATAACAGTCTCCCTATTTGTTCCTCAATTGATTATTACATTATAGCGACGCCAATTAAACTTGTCGGTCGGAACCGTTTCCTCGTGGCTATAAAGCTAACGCATAAAATGTCAGCTGAATACGCCCTATAAAACTATAATGCCGCCGAGTTACTGAATGCGTGCGTTTGCGGACTCAATGAAATGCGTTTCGCGTTGGCGCAAGCACGATCGTATACGCGGTGTCTTTGTAGTAGAGAGGTTGCGCCGCAGCCGGCGCAGCCGCAGCCAGAACCGGGGCAAGAGCCGGAGGGCTGGCGTGCCGCGGGCGCTTTCCCGATCACAGCTTTGCGGCGAAAGACCCCGCTGTTCTCGCACCGTACGTCCATGACCGGGACTCGTAGGGGGGTGGTACATCACGCGGCGCGGCATGCACGGGCCGCCGCTAGCACTATCTGCATGTCCACATCTGCATTGGGGGCGTCGGGACATTTCGTCACAACCGCCCACCAACGAACGACGGGCGCCGACTCGCAACTTCTAGGATTATTTAGTACTAATTACGAATGTATTTCATTTGCCTTCACTAATTATTTATTTGCTAATAATTGTGATTGCTAATTAATTACTCCGCCCCGCAGACAAGGTGCCACTAGGCTGCCAGTGTTGGCCAACTTGATAATTAGCATTACATATTATACCGTGACACGTATAGTCTGGTCGTAATTAGCAATTAATAAGCACTCCTGCGCCCGAATTAAAATTATGACAGATTGCGATGTCACGCATATATCATCTGTTGCCTTGTTTTACCTAGGCAGTTCCTTGTGGTGGTCGACCATGGTACATTCTGCAGGTCTGAAAACGCCCCATGTCATCGAGTTTCTACGTATTGCCATTTACGATCTACTCACAATGGCCGCAACCGTTGATAGTAAGAGTTAACTGTAACTATCCGCGTTGCCTCTATGTCGGTTACAGCTAACCAAATTGTAATTCATTATAAATCCATGTATCTCATGGCCATTCGAGTGACGCATGATGCCATCCGCTAGGGTTGTTGGTGTTGTTGGGTTGTGGGTTTTTTATGGTACATGTTAATTCTGTAGGTTTAATGGAGGCACGCGTGTGTCACGCCCACCGACAGTGTGCGAGCGTGGCCGCTATATACCGCATCCTTCTCGCTCCAGGTTTTTGTCTGCGTGATCCTCGGAAGCAAAGCGTGCTGGCCGCATTTTGCACCGAAAGGCAACTGGCCAGCGGCTACTATATACGTGTCCGCATTGCGCGAGGGCAGGAACAGAACAGGGGCCGTATCTACGCTGGGGCCCTGGGTTTCCGGTGCTTCCAGTGGTAGTGTGGGTTGCCGCCGCTGTCGGCTTGCCGCCCTATAAACACGCGGGTAAGAACATCTTTCCAGCGAGGCGCGGGAGTGTCTGTCGAGTGGAGGCGGAGCGTGAATGCCCGACGCCTCTGAGCGAACGCGTTAAAGTCGGCTGAGTGCTTTCGTCGCGCTGGTCTGAGCGCGCCATCCGCAGGCAGCTCGCGCGGGGTCACGACGCGGCTTTGTGCGCCGATAATTGGACGAGCACAGGGGCGGGAACGAGGTGGCGGCGGCTCACGTCGCCCGCCGCCTTCAGTCCCGTGCATCCCTAGGCTGCAGTGCAGGCGGCTAACTGAAAACTAAACACTCGCTTGCGGTATTCCACGGGTCGTCTATTTGGGCGGGGCGCGGGTTTGATATGTGCTTCGTATTTCGTTGCGTATCGATGCTGGTTGCGTTATGTTGTTTCACGTGATGAGAAGCGTGGTCTTGCGTGCATGCGAACATGCGTGCGTGCGTGCGTGCGTGCGTACGTGCTTGCGTGTGTAATGCGTGCGTGCGTGCGTGCGGCTGTCATGATTGTGTGTGCTGTATTCGCATGCGCGCATCCGTTATATTTCTTGTGCAACTCTATATGTCGCTATTCACACGAATTTTCATCTTTAAGATTTTTCAATGTTGTGGGTCACATTCGACATGGCCGCCTACGCAAAGGTAACAGCTGCGTGTGCGCATGAGCACGTGATCTGAGAGTTTCCCGTTCTTACCGTTAGGGGGCGCCGCTCGTACACCAGCGCGAGATTAGTACCGGGTCTCGATTTTTTCTGCGGGTTTGGCATTAATGCTCAACTACCGCGTCGTATAGCATCAGCATCACGCAAGATTACGGTTGTTTGACGGCGCGCTGCGAGGCTGCGCTGGCCAACCCTCCGTACGTTGCCTCCGCCTCCTCCTCATTTAAGTCGCACGGGATCCACACACAGCACGCTACTAATCAGCGCTGACGTCCGACAAATCCCAGTCTCGTGTGATCTCGCGTCAACCCGCGGGGGTCGCACTGTCACTGTGTTCGCCAATTGTCTTACGAAGCGAAATCGTAAGAGGCGGGACGTAATTAATGAGCAGGAGGATAAGGATAGATAAGGCCCCTGCTGCGTCGCGTTAAAACAAGCAGCAGATATAGCGGCTCTCTGTTTCCGAGCCTGTAACGTACGGGGTTTATAATTGCATATAACCTCATATCTACACACACGACTGCTTCTACACGACATCCTATATAAGAAGTTCTCAAAGCCTGTCTGTTACGTTCACGCACAAACGCACATACAACAACACACACCACACGCACACCACGCAGCACACACACACACACAGCACACACACACACCACCACACCACACACACACACACACACACACAACACCACACACCCACACACCACACACAACACACCATACACTACACACACATACAACACATACATACACACCACACACACACACACACACACACACACACACACACACCACACACAGCACACACACCCACACACACAACCACACACACCACGCACACATGCACACATGCGCACGCAACGCACGGCACCACACACACACACACACACACACACCACACCACACACACGCACACCACATACACAGAGCACACGCACACACACACACACACACTCACACACACACACAACACACCTACACACACACACACACACACACAGCACACACACACACACACACACACACACACACCACACACCTTCTATGCATACATGCGTGAATACAGGAGATACGTTGTGAATGTAGGTAACGTACCCACGCAAGCTAGACAAGAACATGCACAGTATTGACAGGTAATACTATTTTCCGCTTAGTTTACGGCTGATACACACAAAAGATTAGTGCTTACTTGTCACTCGATCGAGCTCTATATAAGCGCACAAGCTACGCACGGGCCGATCTCGCACCTTCTCTACTACTTACCATGCGACCTGCGTTGTATTGTGAAGGTTCATGAGACTGCGCGGGGACCTGGCGCCCTTCGCGCGTCGCGTGCGTCGACGAACTCAGCTGAGAACGTCGTCCCGTAGGCGACGTTGTCCGAGCAGCCCGACCACTGGAAGCCCTCGGCCGACGTGCTCTGACGCTGCGGTCGCAGCCGCACTTGTTGAGATCGCCACTGCTGCAGGCGCGAGTCACCGAGTGCGCGACGCGCCGCCGCCGAGATGGCGTGCACGAACGCCGACTCGGCGCGTGCCTGCAAAGCGACAAACGAGTACGTAAATAAACACGTAAACACGCGCGTAACTAAACACAGGGTTCATAGTAGTAAGACACATGTTGAAATAAGGACTTATAAGACCCTTTCTGGAGGCCAAAATAAGACTTTTTACGTGATTTCTGATAGATCACCGACTATTAAAGTACACTAATAATATTTATATACACAATTGCACAGCAGATTTAATTATCCCGTATTATATATACAACAATTCTTACTCTCTAAGTCGAGAACAGTTTATAAAACCTAGGGTCCTTTGGCAAAAAATAAGGACTATTAAGTACTTTTCTAAGATTTCACCAAAAATAAGTACTAATAAGGGCCCTTATTTTATTTTTGGCAAAATAAGTACTTATAAGACTTTGGAAGACCCGCTACGAACCCTGAAACATGTAAACACGCGCGTAAATAAACATGTAAACACGCACGTAACTAAACATGTAAACACGCGCGTAAATAAACACGTTAACAAGCGCTTGAGCAAACGCGGTCATGCGCCGCAAAAATATGATCAACGAATGCATAATTTTGGCGACAACCAACACGTAAACACGCGCGTAAATAAACACATAAACAAGCGCGCAAATAAACACGTAAACAAGCGCGGAAGCAAACGCGGTTATGTGCGCCGCAAAATACGATAAATGAATGCATAATTCTGGCGACAACCAACACGTAAACACGCGCGTAAATAAACACGTAAACAAACATATAAACAATCGGAAAACGGCCCTCGTTAACGTCAACGTCAACAAATTCGTAAACAAGCGCATAACACGTAAAAGCGTGTATCTAAACAATGCGTAAATAATAGATTTAGATGGGTCTGTCCACTCGGCGGTCGACTCTCGCCACGTCGCGAGCAAGCTACGGAGCGTGCCATACCGGGTTCAAGCAACACTCTATAAAGGGTAACGTCGGAAATGTGATGAGAAAGTGATCGCGCGCGAAGACTAGTATGCATCCGCTTGACATTCGTCTAGTAGCCGATCGAAGCGGAACTCGGCCAGTCCTTGAAGCATTTGGTGCGATGCGACGCGATTCCTTGCCTTGTCCTCTTTGTATTCGACACTAGGTTTGATAGGACACTATATTATAACCTATATGCTATCGGCTTGACCCCTACTCCACTTCCTTAACTAGAAAACCTATAACCCCGATATCATTCATACTGCATTTTATTCGGTAGTCCTGTTTCGCAACTGCCTGCGACAGATTGTTATTGTGTGGACACCAGCGTGGAGTTCGCTATATCCGTGTCCCTGCGTGAAGTTGCATGTGTATAGATATGGAATTGGGAGCGCTGCGTGGATTTGCAGCTGCGCTAAAGATGGTTAGCCGCCCGCGTTCACGCGCTGAGTGTCTAAACAAATAGACGGCGAGGAGGAGGTATGTGTAGCACAGTGACTAGTATCTAAACAACGACAGTCTGTCTCTGGTTTCCTCCACTTGAGTACATTTTCCCTCCTTTCATCGACTTAGTTTGTGCTGCGCTGTTGAAACTAGTGTCTGCCTTGGAGGGATCGCAATGCGGTACAGGTAACCTTCCACCGCTTGTGCTACTTTGTATGAGCATTATCGCGTAGTACGCTAAAACGCTTGATGAAAACTGAAGTGTGATGACAAGGGGACTCCATATTATCTTATTATTTTTCTTGATTCCTACACACGAACAGATTATGCACGGTTATGGCCTTGACTAATTGAAATGAAGCGAGAAAATGGGAAGGGGTGACAAGATGGGAGAGAGATAGAGCGGGGAGTAGGGGCGGAGCGAGAGAGAACAGGAAAAAGCGTGAACCCGAGCGTGAGATAATGAAGTAGAGCGAGGGAGAGAGAGACAGAGACAGAAACAGACGGACGGATGGACGTGCGGATAGACGGACAGAAGCCAGCCAGACAGACAAACAGACAGACAGGCAGGCAGGCAGGCAGACAAACAGATAGGCAGACAAGCACGCGCAAGTGGAGGAAAAGTGGCCGCCGAGTTATGCATCGTTCTTACTGAATGCCGGAGTTATGCAGTGACTAAGATCACCGCCGCGCGAACGGCGAAACACGAGTTAATTGACAAGAAAAATAATCAAACCTCGGGGATGAGAAGGCCGCCCGCACCGAGACACAAGGCCCGCATTGATGGCGTGTATATTTAGAATCGAGCCCACCTACTTCGCGCGGCGGCGGCAGCGTGCAGCGGGCAGGCAGTCTCGGCGGCAACGGGGCGGCCTGCTGCCGGAATTACGGCATACGGCAGCCGTCTGCGCATGCGCCGCTGCTTCACGGAGGAGGCTTCACCGTTGCCCCGCCCCCGTGCCGGCTGAGATGCGAGCTGACGGCTTGTCTCGCGGAGTAGCGCACTCCCTGAACGCTGAACAAATTTTTAATCATGCGGGAGTCTGCATGCGAGAGGAAAAAAACCCTCTCCTGCTTTAACTTCGTGGGGGCAATCGACGCAGTGTCATGTGGAGACAGCAACATTCTATTTCTGTAGCAAACCTCTCCGACAACACTGTATGAAAGTCATGTTCGACGATGTCTGTTACCCATAACACGCAGTCATAAATCGAATGCCTGCATGCTCTTCGCGGGGAACTAGAGTTATAAATTATTTGAATTACACTAAGAAAACAATAGATATAATTAGAGAAACGTGGTCGCGTCTCGTTTGCGTAAAGCATACACGTGTGCGTCATTAATACGTTCATATTAATATCGCATTACATCATGTTCGTATATGATTTAAAACAAAAACTGAATAGTATTTCTTCTATACAATAAGGCACGTCCATAAACATTGAGGATGAAATCGCGGTTGATGGGTGCGGGGAGATGTCGTCAGCGTGTGACATCATTCGTGTCAAATGCTGTCCGTCACCGACGAGACGATGACGCGACGTCGTTAGTCTGTTGTCGGCCTGCCGAACGCCGATGACGACGGCTAAGCTTTGATCGCATTCCCGCCGCTGCTCGCGATAGCGTTTGACCTGCTCCCGCACCAATGACACAAAGTCGCCGACGCACAAAACGTCGCCTCTCGTGATCATCTGTTCGTTGCTCGTTGTGCATTGTCTTCTCGCGTGTGTGTACCCGGAGATCAATTATCTTCTTAGATGCCTCGCTGTGAGAGCGCGAGCGGGCTCTCCCTCCACGATATTGCTACAGCTACGCACACCACCGGCGTGGCGCGCTTGCCTGGATGCTGGCGCGTTTAGGGCGAGCTTAAGCATAACTGCCGGATTAAAGGCGAGTATTTAAACAAAATCTTAGCCGCGCTGTGCGTGTTTGCCCAAATCCTGACAAATGGTGATTATATCGCTGATAGGATCCATCTCAGCGAGCTGTGGGATGAACTAGATCCCTGCCAGGATTTAAGCTCGGGTAGATGAGACAGTAATATCAGCCGTCATCCTCGCTATCCTCTATCCGTCATGGTCCACGGCGATTTCGTAGGTATGTTAACGCGGATCTATGTGTTTATGTTAGTATGCGGTCCTGCGAACTCATCTTTAATGTTGTGATGAGCACCAACTATTAACCTATACCTAAGCTCGCGTCTATAACGAAACAATGACTGATACTCCCCCAGCACCACCTCACACGTCGGCCTCATTTATTAATTCACGGGAATTCATCAATATTAGCTGCAGATTGCACATGCCCTCTACTAACACGAATAATAATAATAATAATAATAATAATTATTATTATTATTATTATTAGCAACGGCCACACATCGACAGTAGTCTAAATAACAGGCGTTACATACCTCGCCGTATAGCCTTTCCGAAGACCTTTTGCGGGTCAACGGTGCTGCAGTTCCAGCGTCTGTTCATAAACTGGAACTGACACTCTGAGATGGCTTCTTCTGCGCCGTATCGGACGCTGTCCATTACTTCGATGTTTTTGCGGCATATTGACTTCTGGCGCTTGACCAGTCCGGTCAGCTGCTCGCACTGTCCAGGCTGCTCAATGCTCGTCTCCACGCCTGTCGTCGCCAAGGCTCTGCAACATGGCGCGCAAACATGAGGGTATAATACAGATAGCCGCCCGCGGCGAATTAAAAACAACGAGAGACTGATGTGACGCGGTGAAGAACTTGTTTGTTCTTCTTCGTGGTTCGTGGCTCTGGCAGTCGCCTGTCTCGAATTAGACAAACCGTGTCTTTGCTATACGGCTTAATCGGATTAGCTCTATACAAGGTAACGAGGGACATCTGAAATCCTCTTCCAGTGACACCGCAGTTTAGGTTTTTAGTGACAGGTTAATGGGCCGAGAAGGCAGCTACCGTGTTATGATAGCAAAGCGTATTTCGTCACAATAGGCGTAGTCAAATGACGCTATTCTTCTCGAATATATATATACATATATATATCAAATTTATATATAATTATATATATATATATATATATATATATATGTGGCTGTTAAATGTCTAGCCTTAAGGCCGTACAAACACATCTAAATGAGACACGTTAACGTCTCACTATAATGTTCTATCGGGGACTATATTTTATGTAAATATAAGATATGGAAGAATCATTATAAATGGGATTCTTACACGGAAGTAAGCAGGTGTTTAGAAGACATATGAGGACCGTATTTGAGAGAGAAAAGAGAAAAGGCGAAAGAGACAGGGCGACGAGGGAGAGATAAAAAGAGGAAGAGAAGATTGAGAAAGAGAAAAGAAAGAAAGAGGGAGAAAGAGAAAGATATTGGTGTGTTATGTAAGTGTAGGGATATAATGCTTTACATATTAGTAATAAATAAACGGTAATATAACCCTGCTGACTAGAAAGATATTAAAGTGTGTACATTCACTACATTGTTCTGTTACTTTCACCCACCGTCAGAATAAATTTAAACCGATATATATATGTGCAAAATGTCATTAATAATTCATTGAATTTCCTTGTCAGATTTCACACTGGATATAATGCACAAGTTCGTGTTTAATGATTTAGAATTCTAGTCAGTGCGTGGATATGGTGTAACGTTCCTAAATCAACAAATGAGTTGCGCATTAGATTTCGGGGCAGACGTACACACATCATCCTTCTTACCAAGTGATGAATACCAGTCATACGTAAGCAGCGCTACATTGCTAGCATGCACACACTGACATCCGCGTCCACCCACTACACACGTACACACACACACACCACACACACACACACACACACACACACACACACACACACACACACAACACACACACCACACACACACACACAACACACACACACACACAGCACACACACACACAAACACACACACACACACACACACGCACACACGCGCGCGCGCGCACACACACGCCACACAACGCACACGCACACGCACACGCACACGCACACGCACACGCACACGCACACGCCACGGCGCACGCGCGACGCACACGCCAGCACAGCACACCACACAACACACACAAACACACACGCGCACGCGCACGCGCACACGCACACGCACGCACGCACGCACGCGTGCACACACACACACACACACACACACACACACACACACACACACACACACACACACACATATCACACGCCACACGTGTGTGTGTGCGCGCGCGCGTGTATGTGTGCAGTCCCAACATGTACACGAGTTGATAATAATTTGTTTTGCCGATGCGGGGGCTGTTTTGACAGTTGGGGAGTGCGTAGCTCCGTCAGTCGAGCGCGTGCTGGCGTACGTACCCACCAATTGTTTGGCTAAATTATCAACACGCTGAAATTTATTGCGACTGAAAAGCAAGCAAACGCCAGCATGGCTGTTTATCCGGCCGCTAACGTAGAGTCGACATTACAGTATAGTGTGTAGTACCTAACGCCTACCGTCTCCCGTCGGCGTGGAACTATTGGAAGAGAAAGCACGGCACCGTGTTACAGTCCGAGGGGAATCTGGCCAGCGTCTTTCTGTGAGCAGTTCGTCGTTGATAACGGTACGTTTACGATACGACGCAATGTAGTTCGCGAGTATCGAGTGCGTCAATGGTCGTCGACGCATGCGTCGTACACGTGTGCGCCGATTAGACACTTAAACCATGATTTCCCGCACATATATGGAATCCAGGTGACCCGTGATAATTACAGGTTACGTGTGCTATATGGGTCGTCAAAGCGTTGTAAATGGCGACTGTTTCTCAGCGTAGGTCACGTGATCACCACGAATGAATTAGAATAAACTATCTACGTAAAATATACGCGCGTACACGGATTCTCTGTCATTATTTACTCCCAGATGACGTGCCAGTAGCGTCATCTTCGCTGTAATAACATATCGTATAGTTATTGACAATGGCGCGTGCACGTGAGGCCAAAAGAGATGCTTATACTACCTGGCCGCATGTCACGTATAAAAATGGTCAATTACTTTGCCCCCGAATGTTTTTTTAATGAATGATCGTAGCAAAACAGAAACTTTGATTATTGTATGTCGCGGTCAGAAGTAAGGCGTAGACGAAGACGACATCGACTGCCTATGTGCGCCCACTGTAGACGTACATCGCACGGACGTGATGTAGTTTGCATTGACGTATGATCACGTAATGCCCCTCAGCTAGGAGGGTGGGAGCAGGCCGAGTGCTCACATACATTACTGAACAGCCATGCTTCCCAACGTTGCCTGAGTTACGTGTTCGAATTATAGTTGTTGCATGTCGCAGCTCACATATTATATCACTCGTGTTAATAAGCCCAAATGAAATATTTCTTCGAGTAATAAACAGAATATGTGTCTTTCCGTAAAACCGTCAAACCGTTTATGGTGTTGTTGATTAAGGTCCTTCGCCGTCATCAATATTGCTTTAATATCCTGAAAAATTCGTTGGTACTGGTAATACTGAGCAACGAAATGAGAAAAGATAACTGCGCTTCCTTCAATACTTTTTTCGTTTTGGTATAATCGTTGCCATATTTCTGTATATATTTAGTGCAAAAAGCATCAAACTCAACTTCAACTTCACGTGACAATGGTTTCATTATACAGCGATCTGAGACGAGTCCCATTGCTCGGCTGCGCGGTAACATTAGATGACGACGCTACATGGGCATAGGATGAACTGTCCGACTGATCCTTAATCTCACGGGTTTAGCATCAAGCCCGTATCGAGGTTCCGGCGGAGAGATTTTTGCGCTTAGTCTATAATTGGCGGCTCGCCCGCGACAGGTAAACCTGTCCGCCGTGTGACAGGTGAGAGAGGCGACTCGCTCCGGCTCCGTCTGCGCAGGTGAAACGAACGCCCTGCTTCTCAATTTATGTCCGCGCGGGGTGAATTTATTGGAGTCGGGTCGCTTGATTTATGCGCGAGGGTATAAATTAGCCGTGCTGCAGCACCGACAATGGTGCTAGAGTACCGGCTGCTCTCCGCCACCATACAGCGTATTGCAGTGCGAAGTTTCCTTTTCTAAAGCGGGTTTTCTACTCCTAACTCAACCCCACGGCGGCATCAGAAAGAGAATGTTCAGTGAATACTATTTTGTCAGCTGTCGTTGAGGGGTGGGAAAGAGTAATGTGTGCGTGCGTGCGTGCGTGCGTGCGTAGGCGTGTTTGTGGCTACGTGAACATCGCTCCACCGCTGCTTTGATGGTAATCTTCACCATTTACTTCGCCCGGACGCAAACTGCCTTGATATCTAACGACATTAATATTTCAGGTAAACAGCTATAGTCTCGCCAGGACACCCCCCTGATGCCATTACCGTAGTCGTTATGCATCGAACGCGCAATCACCGTGAAAATGCGGGGTTGCCATTCATACGCCAGAACACATTGATAGACAGACCGCACGCAGAAGATATAAGACGATAACTTTTCTTTCTTAGTTTACTTTAGCTAGCTCAACAGCGTTATTAGAACGTAATTATGGTAAGCTATGATACAACAACACTTGCCGGAGATTACCGTGTCCCCGCAATCGAAAACCGAACTGAACGCGCGCACACAGCGGTGCGGGATATGTAAGCATGCAGACTATTGCTTGTCAGTATGAGTTTGTGTGTGTGTGCGTGTGCGTGCGTGCGTGCGTGCGTGCGTGCGTGCGTGCGTGCGTGCGTGTGTGTGTGTGTGTGTTTGTGTGTGTGTGTGTGTGTGTGTGTGTGTTGTGTGTGTGTGTGTGTGTGTGTGTGTGTGTGTGTGTGTGT